AGGCTTCTGCTGTTGGCCTTGAGCCAAAACGTCCGGTTGCGAAACGAATTATAAATGCACTATACACAAGCTACCCTACCTATGCCCCTCACTTCCAGTCACAAACACCCAAAACCTTAAACCCTAAACCCCTAAACGCTAAACCCTGTAACCAAAAACCCTAAACCCTTAAACCCTAAACCCTGTAACCCCGTAACCAAAAGCCCAAAAAAAGGGAATCCCAGGGCCCCGAGCAGGTCGGCGGGCAGTCTGCTTGGTACGGGCAGTCCTTGCGCTTTGCAGGGGTTTAGGGTTCAGGGGTTTAGGGGTTTAGGGGCTTAGGGGTTTAGGGATTAGGGTTTAGGGTTCAGGGGTTTAGGGGTTTAGGGTTTAGGGGTTTATTGCTTAGGGATTAGGGGTTTAGGGGTTTAGGGGCTTAGGGGTTTAGGGATCAGGGTTTAGGGTTCAGGGGTTTAGGGGTTTAGGGGTTTAGGGCTCAGGGGTTTAGGGTTCAGGGGTTTAGGGTCTAGGGGTTTCTGGGTTTAGGGTTATAGGGTTAAGGGTAGGCTCCATGGTGGTTCCTTTTTGTGGTTTTATATTTGGGATCCTCTCAGATAACCCCAAAAGGGAACTGCGATGGAGCCTATGGGTAGAGCCGAGCAGTCACAAAGGAAGAAGGAACTTTGGTCTTGGGGCATAGGGCTCACAAGGCAGAACGAGTTTAAACAAATTAGTAGGAGGTGGGGCCTAGGGTGTACAAGAACTGTCAGATTAGGGTGTAGTGTTTAGTGCTACAGCTGTCTTTGGTGGAACCCAAAATGGCACTAGAATCGTGAGATGGTCAATCCCTAGCACAATGTGGCAAAGACCTTTCTTCCTAAGACTTAGGACTTTGGGGTTCAAGGCAATCGGTAGCCGACAAAGTCTCCCAAACCCTACACCCTAAAACACCAAACCCTCACACCTTTAAGCCCTAACAAACCCCTACAAACCATTCAAGGTTTCGGCTCCTCGCAGTCCACCCGCGTGAAGTCGTTTTCAGTCTCCCAGCCTGCGGGACGACTCCAGCCCACGCGCCCCACTCGGGCGTACAAGCCTAAACCAAGCTCACAAGCCGCTCGAACTGGCAAGTCCTGCATTCCACATTGCTCCAAGAATCTGGTAATGACTTCAGCAGCAACCGGCACCTTGCATACAACGTTTCCCGCCGCTGGGGTGTGGAAGATAGCCTGCCGAGTCGTGTGTGCCACATATCTTTACAGGGTTTCAAGATTGCCGCCTACAAGAAGGTAGAATGGTCGAGTCGAAAAGATTTTGGAAAAGATGCAACGTACATGCATATATACATATATGGGAGTTAGGACTAGGAGTATCGGGACCCTTGAAATATAGACCCTCTCAATAAGGTCGAGTTTTGAGAGAGCCAGAAGTAGAGTTCAGAAGGGTCCCTTCCATAACACTACCTATAGAATGAATGAATGAATGAATGAATGAATGAATGAATGAATGAATGAATGAATGAATGAATGAAATGAATGAATGAATGAATGAATGAATGAATATATATATATAGATAGACATATGTGATACTCCAGCTTTAACTTAATGTCAAAGTCAACATGTACTCATACGGTTTGACAACACAGTGGCTGAACCGTCTCAAGCACTGAAACCAAAAGCTTGCCATCTTTCTGCACTGAGCCAGAAACCTCATGGAAAAACTAGCTAACCTTGATGGAACCAAACGTCTCCCATGGCTTGGTTATTCGAGGCGGTCTGCTCTGTCATGTCCTGCAATCTGCTAGAGATGTCCTTCACAAGATTTCCGAGCACACAGGGCTCTCACGTAGAAGATGTGTGGCATTTTGGGGTTTCGTTCTCTTCGCATCAGGATGTCAAACGACAGCGTTTTTGTCGTTTAAAGAGGCGCTGTCCCCAGAGCCAGTGAAGCTTCCGTTGTTGTTGCCCCCGGCCGGGGTGCTTCTTGCCTCTGGCTCGACTCATGCTCCTGAACTCCGAAACCATTGGATTTTGGGTTTAGGGCCTCGCAGACTTAAATTCGTAAAGACTTCCGCCAGGCCGCGGCAGGTTCGAATGGAAGCGCAAATGCAGGGAGTCGGTGCTGCCAAGCATGGCTTGTCCTGCAGCATCTTTGTGCATGAAGGGGTTGGAAATCTAGGACTTGTACGACTGCTTCCCGCTGGTCAAGCATCCAACGCTGGCACCAGTAGTGGTCGCTGTCGTATATAGCAGAGTACAGAGTAGAAAATCGGATAACAGCATGTAGCGAAGGAGAGAGAAAGAGACAGAGCGAGAGAGAGAGAGAGAGAGATACCATCTGCCTCATGTACCAAGATGTGCATGTGTATGTGTAGGTGTGTGTGTGTACCGTATATATGTAGATATGCATAGTAAGATGCAATGCTTGCTTGTCCAGCATCCTGGAGGAAATAAAGGTTAGCCTTCGGGATTACATAGGAATTCGATTCCAATACCAAAGGTTACCTACGAGTCTACGAGTACAGTACTCTACTACTAAGATGCATGTACATTCCTATGAACGAAGGGCAAGACAGAGTAAAGAGAAGGCTGAGACACAAATAGACAGTTCGACAGTCACCGAGACACATTTTCCGAAACCACAAATCCAGCTTGCCGGGTGGTCCTCCCAAGGATACTTGACGTCAGATGATGGGGTCCATTTCACCTTTCTTCAACATCACCAAGGGATCAAAACAAACTTGCACTTTACCAGACATACCAAATATGGACTGCGCAAACAACACCATAAAGTCCTTCTCTTTGGCTAAGTCAAGGCACCGATAAGGCCCCGCCACAAGGGGACGGTTCGTCGCGACCCTGCCATCTGGCGGGCATCGTGGATCGCTCCAAAAGCAGGGGTGGAGCATCCTCCGAGGCAGAACACAAAATAAATCTGCACGCTCCGAAGCCTCTTGTAGGCTTTGTGACTGTCGGGCTTCGAGAGTAGGGGAGGACTGTGCGGTGTAGGCCTTGCGATGGTTTTGCGCATGGACTGGGTCGCCGTGACCTCGACTGGAGAATTACCCGTGCACCGGAGCACGTAGCATCTGCGCTTTGTGCAAGGATGGGTTGTGACGAATGGAGTGAAGATCGAGTATCGTGGTCGGGTCAATAGCATTGTGTAGTGTAGTTTAGCATTGCCTAGACACTGAAACTACCGTAACCTAGATTTTTAGAGGTTCTTATCATAAACCCCAGTATGGAATTCATAGGCTCCCTACAAAAACGTAGGTTTTGGTAGGTTCAGGTACGTAGTCTAGTCGAAGCGTCTGCAAGCTAGCCATGGTCCCGAACCCCTAAATCCCTTCGGAACCCTTCAGGGTTCCTTAAGGGTTTAGGGTTTAGGGTTTCGGCCTCAATTAATGGAACCCTTACAGATCCCTGTTAAAGGAACCCTAAACCCCCAGAAATCCGGGAGGGGGCGCCTCCGTGCCGTAAGAAACCAGAGCTTCCCGGCACCCCACGTTCCTGGAATGGATGGGGTGGGTTCTTTTTGGTTTAGGGTTTACGGGTTAAGGGTTATAGGATTTAGGGGTTTAGGGTTTAGGGGTTAAGGGTTAGGGTTTAGGGGTGTAGGATGTAGAGAGGTCTGCGCAAGCCCTTCTTCAATGGCCAGTACCACAGACCACCCAAAGAAAAGAGAAAAGTTGTAAGTTCCCCTGTTTGGAAGATTTGAAAGAAATGCAAGGCCGGTGAAGGCAAGGTTCCCAACTTCAATGGCCCAATAGTCAATCTGATCCAGGTCCAACGTCGTGTACTGCGCCAAAGCAGCCTGTACAAACGCGCGCGCCAGTGTCAGAATCTTGCCACACCTTGTCCAATTACTCTTGCTCTTTTCCACTACTCGACGACGACCGCGACGACTACCACTGCTGCTACTGCCACCTCCGCTGCCGCTGCCACTGACACGCCACGACCACTACCACTACCACTGACATACTGATACTGGTAATTAATGATAACCACAATCCATGCGATTCTCACCGCACTCAATCATTGCTAGCAGGATACTAGCGTGCAGTCACTCCGGGCCTGCACGAGTGGACGGATCGGTGGAGCCTCGAACTCATCGAAAGGACCCTCGCTGGGCCCATACCTCAGGCGGCTTTGGAAACCCGGGGCCTCACTTTAAAGGAGTTGTTGGGTTTCGGGGTTTGGGGGCTTCGGGGTCTGAGGTCCTCATCGTCTTGCGAAAGACTTGAGGGCCAGCGACCAAAGGAGGAGGCAGGAAGGCACATCCTGCTTCCGTTTTTTGTGACGCTGCTGAGAGACCAATTGTCAACTGCCATACGGCCGTAACTGTCGTCTTGAAGAAGACAAAGATAGCAGAACAACGAGGAAAGAACGAGCATACCATCACCATGATGATCACCATCACCATGACAATCATCATCAGGACATAGCCCCCTAAACCCCAGAACCCTGAACCCTATGAACCCCCCGAGCCCAGTAAAGCCTAAACCCTGAACCCCAAACCCTAAACCCCCAAAACCCCAAAACCCTAAACCCCCCAAAACCTTTACTAAACCCTATCCCAAAAGGCTCCATGTACCTTCATAGTAGATACTTAGGCCTTAAAGGTCCCTATATAGGGACCTTGAAGGCCTAAGTAGCTACTATAAAGGTACATGGAGCCTTTGGGTATCACTATCCCCTAATAATCCTCAACCCCTAAGCCCCTAAAACCCCAGACCCTAAACCCCTAAACCCCAAAACCCCTAAACCCCTAAACCCTAAACCCCTAATAAACCCTAAACCCCTAACCCCTAAACCCCTAAACCCCTAAACCCCTGAACCCTAAACCCCTAAACCCTAAACCCCAAACCCAAACCCTATCACTCCTGGGGCTCCGGGCCCCACGAAGCTCAGCGCGGCCGCACAGAAATGGGCCCAGCCCAGAGGCGCAAGAATCTGAAAGCTCATGTTCAGGCCTGGAGTCTGGTTTGGGGTTTTTAGGGTTTGGGGGGTTCATAACGGTTTTAGGGTTTAGGGCTTTGGGGTTTAGGGTTTAGCGGTTCTTATCGGATCCTTAAGGGAATTATTGGCTTATATACCCCTCTTAGAACCCCCCTCCCTTAAGGATCCCATAAGAGTCTGGTTTGGGTTTTTAGGGTTTGGGGCTTTGGGGGTTTAGGGTTTAGGGTTTTGGGGGTTTAGGGTTTGGGGTTTAGAGTTTAGGGCTTTGGGGATTTAGGGTTTGGGGTTTTGGGGTTTGGAGTCTCCCTAGGGCTCCAGTTACCTAAATAGTGGGTTACTAACCATATATTCTGTATGCCGGTAACCTACTATTTGGGTAACTGGAGCCCTAGAGTCTGGTTTGGGGCTTTTAGGGTTTGGGGTTTGGGGTTTAGAGTTTAGGGTTTAGGGTTTTGGGGTTTAGGGTTTGGGGTTAGTTTGGGGTTTAGAGTTCAGGGTTTAGGGTTTTGAGGTTTAAGGTTTGGGGGTTCATAACGGTTTAGGGTTTATGAGGGCTTGGCGGTTAGTAACTCGAACGGTTTCTAGAGGGGCTTGTGCGGGCTCAGGTTTGAGCAGTGTGTAATCGGTAAAGTGGACTGCAGTAATATGTTGTGCGAGGATCTGACACTCCCTACATCTTAAATTTACTATAGTGGAGGGTGTTGGCGGTTTGTTGTAAGTACATAGGGCCTGTCAGGAGATATGAGTCATGAGTGCTACTGCCATAGAACCCTGATGTAGGAATTTCAACAGGGCTTTGGGTATGCTCTGGTATAATATTCAGTATACTTATCATGCAGTATTCAGGAAACCTCAGGAAGAGGATTAATTAGTAGTTGTTCGGACCCCGATGTTACATTGCGTCGTACAGTAAAGCAAGTTGGCGGCTAAGCCCGATCACCTCGGAAGGTCGATCTAGGATTTACGGATTATATGGCAAAATCTTACGAAGCCTCAACCCCGAAGTCGTGAAATCTCTAGTTCACGATGAAGCTCGTACCTACTGCCACGGAGCAGCGAATCTACTAAACACAGCAGCGTTAGATGCAGGACATGTACAGACCATGAAGATGTCTTGAACATATGGAATTTCAACACGAAGCGGCATACGAAACTAAATACAACCAATAACAAAGCATCGCATGATACAGCACAATAATGTATAAGAGCGTATGAAAAGTAGCATGAACCACATGAAGCCAAGGCCTACCCTAAACCCTGAACTTTAAACCCTGACCTAAGCACTGAACCCCTAAACCGACACTAAACCCCAAGGCCGCCGCCGGCTTCGGGCTGGTTCAGAGTGAGGATGTCTTGCCTTTCGGGAGGGAATGGATCTCAGGGTTACATGTGGCCTCGAATATAGTATAGGAGAGAATACAAGAGCCTGAATCATTAGAGTAGGGTTCCTTAGTTCCCTGATTGTACTGATGGCATGATACACTAGAACCCTATTCTAAAGTTTGAGGGCCTCTATTGTACCTCCACGGAAGCGCGCGCTGCACCCGGGCAGGCAAAACGCACGACGACACTTGCGGGCCTCGCAATGACGTTCGTGGGCAGGTTCGTGTCGCAAATACCTACAGGGCTGCACAGCTCCGTTGGCGCTACTCCCGTTGTATAGAGGCCGAGGTGATTAGACGAGGGCTCTGAGGGTTGCATTGGGGGTTTAGGGTGGGGGGGGGGGGGGTTCTAGGGTTCAGGGTGTTGCTAGCTACTCCGACTCAAAACACTGTAAACCTAGGTTTATGAAGCCTAAACCTAGCTTACAATGGAAGGGCCTGCCAGCATCTCCTTGGCAGCGTAGGCAATGTCGCCTATGGCGTTCAGCAGGAAGCTGCCTCACCATGGCTTACGGTTTGTGGGATTTAGGGCTACGAAGGCCCTATAAGTTTTGGCAAATCGCAGAGCTTGCCAGCACATATGACATATGACATATGCAGGCAAATCCTCCACGGCCAACAAACATGGTTGACAAAACTCGTCGCGGACATGGACTACGGAAATCGACACGAGGATCAAATCAGGAATTGCTCCTTCGAGCGGCTGAAGAGCTAGTGACAGGTACTTCAATACAGATCTTTTCAGACATCCTCTCGCGTAAGCGACAGTCTTACAAAGAAGGTCTCGGGTTCAGGTCCTAGAGTAGGACCCGTAACAAAAAAGGAGCCTTATACTGCAAGCACAGTGAAACTGTGGGATTTTTGGACCTTCTCGTCGCGGCTTTATTTGCAGGGCTCAGGTCCACAACCCCCCCCCCCCCCCGTTATGCCCTATCAAGCCTCATAGGATCCGCGAAAACCCCAGCCCCTCATAGGATCCCTAAAACCCCAGCCCCCTCATACGCTATAGAACCCCTAGAAAGCCTCATGCCCCCGCCCTTAAATGTAGAAGTAACCCTAAAACCGAAAACCCTCAACCGCAGCTTTTAACGTCGCCGTGGCTCTAAAACCCAAACTCTGAACCGCCCTTATACTAAAAAAAAAAGTGGCCCTAAACCCTAACCCCACTAGAAACCCTAAACACCAAACCCCAAA